TAAATAAGAATGGCGACGCAAGGCTTAGTGTGTACCGCATTAACATTCATACATGGCACTTTAACATCCATTAGTTTAAATTAGTTTTGAAGTCTTTTTTATACTGTACAAATATAATGAAGAACAAGAAATACTTTTGTGCCCAAGCTTTAATTATCAAGAAAACATAACATAATAACACAATAAATTTGTGTTGCATAGCGAGTAGGTTATGCCCGTGCGCCAAACATTTAAATGTTTACATGTCAAGTTTAGAGCATGTGTCGCACTGAAAAGAAAAGCAGCGCATACCTTAAATGCGCCCACAAGAACTTCAACCGTTAATTTTGCAACACTGCCTGACGTAATCCCGACGTCATTATCATTTTCATTCCCTACCCATCGGCTTGAGACCTTAGAATTGAAATCGACCCTGTTACGGTCTCTCCGAAAAGATGCATGAAACACGATATCTGTTTGGCTGGCGTCAGAAAGGTCTAAAACAATCCTCAAATGAAAGAGAACAATTGCTTGTGTCAGCGTAAAAAATAACAACAACAGCAACAGCATACCAACCTATAGGTCCATCCTATAGGTCCAGGATATATTAGCTTCAAGAAAAGCAAAGCCCAGATTTGAAATAAGAAGACAGACTAATTTACCAGGGCACGGTTCAGCCACGGCATACCGGAGTGTCAAAGATATTGCAATTCCAGTTTTTTTTTAAATATTCCGAGCCTGCTAATATTACGCCTGACCGTCCGTACTGGACTCCCGTACACACGCCGTCCGGTGATAATACGTGCCCAATATACTCGAACCCGACGTAAGTTGCAGCACATCGGTATCTTTCTAGAGAACGTATTCCCTCCTGTTTGGTAACATTATTGTATCCTGCATATACAAGTTCGTCAATGACGTGTATGTTTAGTTGAAAAAGACTAAGTGCAACAACAATCTTCATTTCTTACGATATATTTTCTTTCACAAGACTATATGAAATTTGATTTTCAAAACGCTGGTACCGTGACGTTCAAGCAGCTCACATACTCCACAATTGTTTTTCAATGTGTTTCAAATCTTTTAAATTTATTTTGTGGCAGTTTTGCAATATTTGTTTATAACGATATAGTTCATTTGATGCACACATGCTACTTTTATTTGTTTCCAAAATTCATAAAAATGAGTGGTATACAAATTGATGAAAGGAAATGCAGATGTAAATCGAGGAATAAATTGAAAGCTTTTAGTAGTTTCCTGTAACACTTGTCTGGTCTTCCTCTTTCAAGTACTAAAACATGGATTTAACGGATTCTATTGTGAAATGAATTGATCTTCATATTTGCACCAAGTTTGCAACTAAAATGCATTTGAACAAGATATTTTTGTGTTTAGTAAATCTTGATTTGGACGATGCAAATTTAAACATTTACACATTATTGACATCATTGGGGGTAAAGGCATTTTAGCTTGAACGGCGACTTAATCTGATAGTATATATATGCTGTGTACTTTTGTTATAAGTAAAAAACTATTAGAATGATTTTCCGGATATCGTAGACATTATTTGAGCGCGTGAGTTCAGCAAAAATATAACAAGCATGCCGAACGCAGTTATATTAGTCTAACATTGCGAATCGTTCATCTTGATGTGCAAAAACAATATAACAACACTGAAAGTACAGGATAACATTTCTTACAACAAAACAAATGTCACCGGATTGAATTTCACAACTTTAAAAAATAATTGCAAACTTATTGGGGCAACTAAATTTTAACTCACACCCGAGCTTCAGACCCTCAAAACAATTCAAATATGGTCAAACGATATTGAGGAGAAAACAAATGTTGTTATTTAGTTTATTCATCGAAAATTCAAAGAAATTCGTATATAATTCTCATTCAAGTTCATTGTTGTGCCTTCCTCTTTGGACATACGTTTATTGATAAGTCTTTAAAACAAAAACTCTTTAACCCAAAGCAGCAAAGAAATGTATATTTTCTGCCATATTATGACTTAATACATCTTTCGTTGTCCTTCTTCACAGACACCTAAAATAGAAAAAAATAATAATATGAAAAGCGAGTAAATAAAACATCATCTGCTTGAAAGCGGCCTTTGAATGCTTTTATAAAGATTTAATATAACATTTTTAGATAAATTATTTCATACAATTGTCAAATTATAAGAATAAAGATGGAAACTAAGATTTGCCGACGAAAACTATATAAACAATAAGAAAAACCCTCAATACCTGTAATCTGCCGGTCCACTCTCCATATTTAAATTAGTAAAGTGAACGATTCGTTTCCCGATCTTCTATTTTAGACACTAACGTTACTAACGAGTTATGAATAGCTCATGGGACGTTGTTTAAAAAAAAAGCTTAACAGTGATATGATGCAATTATCCAAGATACAACTACTGAAATCAACACAGAATCGTTTTCCCTACAGAAACATAAACTGGAGGCCGCTTTAACCGGAAACCTGATAATATACGGTTGTGTGACGTAATGTTAACAAAATTGATCTACGTAGAAGTTTTCTGTGTACACTTTCTTATAAGATATTTTCAAAATTAAGATATTTTTTTAAAAATACATACAAGATAAGAAAAGGTTTTTGTTAGACCTTTGTCGGAGATTTATTATTCTTTTACAAAAAGTTTGGGCAGCCAATATTAATTGTGATATAATTTGAAATGATTTTAAAATGCCAGTTTTAAAGATTTTTTTTCATATAAAAATATTCATGACTATAAGACTATAAGAAGTGCAGTCCAAAAAATCGCGAGTTAATTATGCGCATGCGCATAATAATTAACAGATCAGAGAACGTGCATGTAAGAAGAGCAAAACGTACCTTTAATTCATTCCCAAGAACTTTCATCGTTAACTTTGCAACACTCCCTAACTTAATTTCGACATCATAAGCATAAATAATACTTTCTGGAGTTTGATTTTTACATATTTGTTTAATAAAATTTGCGATTTTAAATAAATTTTGCTACTAAAATGGATTTTTGGTTCCACCGCACATTGGGTAGGTTATTTACTTATCTTTTCGGGGTGATGACTGTTATTGCTTTCACACATTGCATTACAGGTACTGCTCATCGGATACTTAAATATGCCAAAATGTCATCAAAAGCCGTTTTCCATGTGGAAGGAAGTGTAAGTATCAGACTCTTGGGAATGAAATAAAAAACAGAGACGTATTTGGTGGACGGTTAACTGAATTAATTGAAGTATTTTTTGTAAGTTTGGTTATGTTTTAAATTAAAGTTATTTATCAATATAAGCTTTGTTTTGCTCTTAACAAGCCTGGTTATTTCGGAATTTTAAGCGAAAGTTAAAGTGAGGTACCACATGGGGAAAAGTAGTCTTTACTTTGAGGTTTGAACTTAAATTTGGTAATTTTCACTGTGAAATAACCACATATAATTTTCACGAATAAATCAGTCATCCACTCAAAACATAAAGTAAAGGTTGTAACACTTATTAAAATGGAAGTAGGATATGGCTGAAATAATATTCTGTTGATCAATAAGTCTCGTTTCATTCCTTTCATTAAAGCCGAAATAAAATTTGTTTTTGTCACAAAAAAGGACATTTTCGACTGGAAAGTTTTGAAGTCACGTGCCATTTCCTATGGCCACATGCATTATGTGAAGTAAATCTAGTCAAATCACTGTGAGGAGCTTGGTAATGCAATGCAATCTGAAAAATGTACACAATCTAAAAGCATGTAAACATGTTTTTTTTACGATATTCAATCTATTGTAATACATTTCAATGTAAAAGCATGTAAACATGTTTTTTTAACGATATTCAATCTATTGTAATACATTGCAATCTAAAAGCATGTAAACATGTTTTTTTACGATATTCAATCTATTGTAATACATTTCAATATAAAAGCATGTAAACATGTTTTTTTACGATATTCAATCTATTGTAGAGTACATTGCAATCTTAAAGCATGTTAACAGGTTCTCTTACGATATTAAATCTATTGACATCATTATTTATTTTATTTTCCTTACGTGTCATTAATTTAGTTTTGAAAATGTTGAGCTATTTAGTCACGGCCACACTTACACGGTCGTTGCATAAGGTAGGGCTTTTCCAATTCATCTAATGGACCCCGTTAAATTTCAGGAAAGTTTTACGGGGTAATAAAGCATGCATATATACAATTGTAACATTTTGGACTAAAATTGTTAGCGTTGTTTTGGAGAATATGCTAATAATGGAAACGACGACCCTTTTCGCGTTAAAAAAGAAATCATAACGAATATGAATTTTTCATTCTTGAAGAATACGAGTTCGAAAACAGTACACTTTGTATATAATTTTGCATTTCATACCGGAGTATCAAAGACATTGCAATTCCAGGTTTTCTTAAATATTCCGAGCCTGGTGATACTACGCCTGACCATCCGTACTGGACTGCCGTACACACGCCGTCCGGTGAAAATGTGTGTCCAATATACTCGAACCCGACGTAAGTTTCAGCACATCGGTACGTATCTTGCGAGTTTATTCCCATATTATTGGTAACAGCTTTATATTCTGCATATACAGGTTCTTCAATGGCGTTTAGTATAATTGAAATGTCAAAGTCAAATTATTAAATTTTGGTTAATTTGTCCTTATTTTGTTATTTTTGTACATTGTTCAATTTTCAAAATAGAAAATAGCTTTGATATGACAACTTTGAAAGGAATGTAATATTAAATTTTGGTTAATTTGTCCTAATTTTGTTATTGATGTATATTGTTCAATTTTCAAATAAGAAAATAGCTTTGATATGACAACTTTGAAAGGAATGTACATAATGTCAACATATAGACTCACAACTAAGTCAAATTAAAGATCTCTCTTAATAAAATATATCACTTTTACTTTATAAAATATTTAAACAATAATTTTCCCAACCAACTTTTCGCTTAACCCGGGTTTAGAAGCTGACTGCTGGAAGCGATATTGAACACAATAAAGATAAGAAAACAAATGTTCGTACATGTATATAGTTTATTAAAGATCCTGTATGTTGTAATCAAGGTTGTAACCACATTTAAAATTTCATATATGTATATATAAGTGAAATGTGTTCGTATATGTATATAATAATGCTTCTAAAACAATCTTCAAACATCGAAGACTATGTAAAATATGTACTGCATCTATTTGTTCACATTTTATGTTATCATTAAAATTAATGCGTTTATTTTTATTGGAAAATTCCATATGCCCACATGGTATTGGCGTTTTAGCTTGAACGGCGATTTTGTCTGCTAGTTTATAAATGCTGTGTACTTTTGTAAAAACAAAAAGAAATATGGTTAAACAATTTTCAGATATCGTAGCTTCAGTTTTGCAAGAAAATACAACAGTGCACTTCTTAAATCAAATTCACTGACTTTTTTCCGCAAATTTCATCGAAAATTCAAAGAAATACATGTTATTGAAATCAAATCATAACCATATACATGTAATACAATTTATTCACTGTCACCAATTATATGTTAGCTATACTAACGTGTAAGTCATTCCAGTTTGTTTTTTTATACAATATATTATTATTCTTTGTAATCAAATACATTGTTGTGTCTGCCTTTTGTCTTTGGACTAACGTTTATAAGTTTTTGAAACAAATGCTCTTTAACAAGTTAGTGTACCCATTAACAGCAGAGAAATTTATCATTCGTGTCGTATTTGGACTTAAAACAAATTGATATCTCATCCTCTCTCTGCCGTTCACAGACACCTAAAATAAATGAATAAATAAATAATAAAAAAAAAATATATATATATACATATATATATATATATATATATATATATATATATATATATATATATATATATATATATATATATATATATATATATATATATATATATATATATATATATATATATATGAGATGTTAGCATATCATCATTTGTGAAACTTTTTTTAAATGGTTATAACGGCTGTATGACACTTAATAACCATGGTGGCAACAAGTGTTAATCACATTTTCTTTTGTATACACGGCACGTTAACATCTATTCGTTTAAAAAAAGTTTTGATGTCTGTTTTATACGAATACAAAGAGGAAGAAAAAATTTACATTGGTGCATAATTATCAAGGACACATAAAATTTAGTGTTAAGCGTGTTAGTTATGCGCGTGCGCCAAAACTATTAAATGAACAGATGTAAAGATCAGAGCACGTTTCGCAGTACATCGAAGAAAAACAGTACATACCTTAAATGCATCTGTAAGTACTTCCACCGTTAACGTTGCATCACTGTCAGATGTAATATCGACGCCACTAGCATTTTCATCCCTTTGCCATTCGCCTGAGAACCGAGAATTGAAATTGATTCTGTTACCATCTCTACGAAATTTTGTATGAAAGATGATATCTGTTTCGGTGTCGTCAAAAAGGTCTAAAGCAGTGCTAAAATGATATAGAGAACATTCGTTTGTTTCATTGAAAAAAAAAACAACAAAACATACCAACTTATGAAATATATTAGCTTCAGATATGATTATTTAAGAGCAACAAAGCCACAAAGCAACAAATTAAAAAGACAGAGTTGTTAGTGACGACTGCTAAACATAATGTGACAATTTTAAACGTAACCGTTTTGTTTTACGTTTTACCGTTAGACAAACCGATGCCTATGCTGTCAAACATGTGTAAAAGACCATCTCTGAATAATAATAACTCGTAAAATAAGGTCACGTTTTTGATAGCCTTTCTTTAATAAAATGTTAACAAGTCACCTCTTAATAAAGACAACTCGTTTATACAGACCATGCTTAGTCTCTCCAAAAGGTGGCATTTTCTTACAGGTTTGACTGTAGACTTTCTGGGGAAAAAGAAAGATTTTCCTTCGGTGGATGTCAACGCTTTTCACTGTCAATTTTGTATCATTGTTGAATATGAAGACTACGATCAATTCTTTACATCGAGGTTTACTTATCCACTCAAATCTTTATATGACCTATACTAGATTCTTATAGGTTTGACTGTAGACTTTTGGGGGAGAAAAGGAAAGATTTTCCTTTCCATGGATGTCAACACTGTCAATTTTGTATCATTGTTGAATATGAAGACTACGAATAATTCTTTACATGGAGGTTTACTTATCCACTCAAGTCTTTATATGACCTATATTAGATTGTCTTTTTTTGAAACGGCATCTCTGGTGTTTGACATTTACTCTATTTGTTTCATGAATTTTAAGAGTGTTTAAAGTAGTTACACTACTTGTATGATGAATTGATATTAACTGACTTACTGGTTCCATGGTTCCTGGGGTACAAACACAATTTCAATGCTACTTCCGGTTACCAGTTCACCAGGTATTGGTGCCGTATAGTAAGTATAAATATTGTTACTGCTAATCTGGAAAAAAATAAACATGATCTTTTACGCTTAAATTGTGTTCTTACTTTTTTCTTGTAAGTACGTAATCTTTATGTTGTTTTGAAAACGTGGTGTTAATTACGATCATGGTCACGCCGTCGTTATATAAGGATTCAGAAAAAGTCGGAATTTTCAAAGTGATACTAGCTAAATACATGTATAAGTGTGACATTTTGGATGACTATTTAATTTTATTTTGAAAATATTTAGGCATTAAAATCAGAGATAACTCATTGACACATCCACGCTTTCTAAGGTCAGCTTCTTGCCCAAATTTTATCTTAAAGACAAGGAATAGGTTCAGGAAAAGTTGAAATGTCCCGAAGATTCATGAAGTATGTATGGTTGTGACATATTTACGTGAGGGTGTTGGTTTTGGTGGTAGTTTTCACTCCGGATCAAGACAGTTATCCATATTGAATTTACAAAAGCACTGTTTAGCCACCAAATCGTTCAAGGACAAGCTTACCCGTACTTGTCGCCTGCTTCACATGCCAGAACAGATGTACAGTGCGAAATGACCATAGAACACATTTCAAGATTAATCACAACGAAAGTGACCTGCACCGTCCGGATATTGCACCCGGGTTGCCCGATTCACAGTCCAACTCTATCGAGCTTACCGGACGGCTTGACGTATATGGGAAGACTTTTATGCATTAATTAGCAAGTGGTTATGTCAACATGAGAATTTGAGTTTACCCCTTTCAATATTTACGAATATGAATTCATTCTTAAATATAAATTCTAGTATTAGCTCAAAAAAGAAAGGTATATTACTAGTATGTATATAATTTTGCATACTATACCGAAGAGTCAAAGACTTTGCAATTCCAGGTTTTCTTTAGATATTCCGACGCTGGTGATACATCGCCTGGCCCACCGTACTGGACTCCCGTGCACACGCCGCCCGGTGATAATACGTGGCCAATATATTCGAACCCGACGTAAGTTACAGCACATCGGTACCTATCTATCGACCTTATTCCCTCCTTTTTGGTAACATTATTGTATCCTGCATATACAATTCCGTCAATGACGTGTACGTATAGTTGAAATAAAACAAAAACCTCACTAACAATCTTCATTTTGTTCCGATTTACTTTCTGTAACAAATATTTTTATTTGTATCAATACGCAGGTAGTGGACACTTTCATTAAACGTTGGCACACCAATTAAAAAGAAATGTTTCAGCTCTTAATTATTTATTTATCAGTTATTTATTATGACAAACATAAGTATACACATTTATCTATTAAGATAATGCACATTAAAAAGTATGTATAAATCTTTTGGCAATTTTGCCTTATTTTGAAGTGAAGAAACATCAAGAAAATGACAAAAGTCACTCGTTTAGACTTCTTTTATTGCCAGTGAGTTAATGCATCTACTTCCTGTGCTCACAAGAAATCAAACAAGCTTACAATGCATCATACAGTTATAGAATGTAGAATGCACTTGTGCTTGACTTGTATAGATTAGCTATTTCCGTTTCTACGCCAAATACACAAAATCAGTGCTGAAAGTAAATGCAAATATAAACAGGAGAAAAAACGGAAATCTTGTAGAAGTTTTCAACATCTTATGTTCCGCTTTTCACACATACTAAAGTATGTTATGGCTTCTGATAAACATATCAAGCTGCTTAAAGCATTGCGATTAAAATTCGCTTTTATTAACTGTTTTACTAAATATAGAATTAGCAAACAACATCTTTTACAATAACAACAGTTAAATCGCGTAATGCACACAAAAAAACAGTAACCTTTTAACAGATAAACAGTGAAAAGTTATTTTAGTATTTTGATTACATATGATATTTTGTTTCCGATGTTTATATAATATATATGTGATTTATTTATTTTGCTTGGAACCATGCGTTTGATATTCAGGACCAAAGACGTGGGAAAAAATACTAGGAAGTGTGGGAAAATTATAACACCTCGTATACAATATAACATCTGAAGCGGACAAACTTCCCAATTTTTAGGCTTCACTCACATGTAATAATTAAGGAATGTTTTGTTATCTTTATGTTTAAATAATAAAAAAAATGATCAGTAATAGATCTTCATTTATATGTTTTGATATGTTTTATTTAACGCGTCTCAAATAACAAAAAATAACCTGTATGTGTTATAACAAAGACAAGAAAAATATAAATTTCAAATTACTGCTAATCTCATACTTCAATGTACTGCATTTTAGATGTATATGAAAAAATCTTATAATAGTCATTTGAAATAGGTACCAAACTAAATGTATTTGAGCTCTTCGGATTGATTATTAATTGTTAATCGCAAATGGCTTAATAATTAATAATAATAATAATAATAATAATAATAATAATAATAATAAAAATAATAAAATAATAATAATAATAATAATAATGATACGTTTTCTATAAATCAATTCAATTCAATTCAATATTTTATTTGGCATTAAACTACATATAGCATATAGCCATTATTACATAATATAGGTAAAGTGTAAGACATTGTACAATAAATTGTTCATAAAACAGTACAAAATGTTTTCAGAGAAGTTACTAACAATATACCTTCATGAGATTAGCAATTAACAATATGAGATATATACTTAACATTGAAATAAATTGTTATTGTTATCTATATGTATATATATGTATACAAATACAGTCATACAATATGTTTTCAGATATGTTATTTACGGTATGTCTTTATTTAGATCTAACAATATACAAGTTAATCAGAATTTCTTACTTTAAGTGAAAAATATAAATATCTTGACAAATTATTATGTTCTTTTTCATTTTTAGATGACATTAAAGTTTCCATTTTTTGAAGTGTAGGCCAACGGCAAAAATATGGTTTTAAAAATTTCTTACGAAGGTTATAATATTTTGGACAAACGAGTAAAAAATGGAATTCGTTTTCAATGACATGCATATTGCACTGTTGACATAGTCTATTTTCTTTCGGAACTCCGTTGTGCCTACCAATTTCAATTTCTAGATTATGTGATGATTACCGAAATTGCGTCAGTTGTACTCTGTATTTATTTATATTTACACAATTTAAGTATTTTTCAAATTCGAGGTCGTACTTATACATACTGTATGATTGTAATTTACTTATTTATTTCTGAATACCAAGTTTGTTTATATATATCTAATATTCTATTCTTTATTATTTGAAATCACGTGATCAGGTAGCATTGTAATTATTTGCTGTCATATTGCTCCAAACCAAATATGGCAATATTGTCTTATGAAAATATCCGATAATAGTTAATTTAGATAAGTGAATGACATATAAAATAGTATTTTAAATTTTTTCGTATAGGTAGGCCTTGAAGAAAATTCACTTCAATTTGATTAAGTGAATACTTACAATACTTACATCAAGTAACATAAAAAGGTAACATAAAAAATACATCAGGTAATATAAAAAGTTATTATACAGTTGTATAATTTTATAATATATTTCACTTTTCCTAACAAAATAAATACACACTTATTTTCGCAATTATATTCTTACTTACATCCGGGCTTCAGACGCGCAAAACAATTCAGGTATGGTAAAACGACATTGAATAGAAAACAAATGTTGTTATATACATAGTTTAATCATCGAACATTCGAATTCCGACAGGAACTTTGGAATCTTTCGTGTGAGGAAACTATCCAGCTATCTTACGAAACGTCAGTGGTTCTGTTCAGGTGCCCGTTCGTGCTTGAAATAATGAGCGGAAGGGCACCTGAGGTTTTCCTCTACCAGTGTAGCTGGAACGTCGCCATATGGCCAATACTGTCTCGGTGTGACGTAAAACCCAATCAATCAATCAAACAAACAAACATCGAACATTCCAAGTAATACATGTTATTTAAATCAAAATATAACAATGTTATATAAGTATTCATTGTAACCAATTGTTTGTTAGCTACATGTACATATATGTATATTAAAGTATGTGTCTTGACAGTTTTGTCTTAAATCAAATATATTGTTGTGTCCGTCTTTTTTATATTGGACTTACGTCTATAAGTATTTAAAACAAATGCTCTTTAACAAGCAATGTGACCCCAAACGAGCAAAGAAAAGTACTTTTCGTGCCGTACTTGGATTTAAAACATATTGATATATGCACCTCTCTCTGCCGTTCACAGACACCTGAAATATGGAAGAAATCACATGAGATGTTAGCATCAAAATCTTTTATATATAAAAGTCCAAACTGTGTTTGAATGCTTAAAGCATGAGGATTATTCTTCAAACTGGTAACGGTTGTATGACACTAAATCAGAGACTTCTATTACAGATGTTAAATTAAACCCTTTGACTTAATTAACATTTCAGCAACAAGTGTGTGGTGTTTTGTTGTTGTTGTTTTTTGTTGTTGTTTTTTCTTTGAATTTTTCTTTGGTAATGATTTATACACAATACGTTAACACCTATTCGTTTGAATTAGTTTTGATGTATAGTTCATACAATTATAAAAGAGACGAAAAAATATTTTGGTACCCAACCTAAAATTATCAAGAATACATAACATTCAGTGTTGTTTAGCGATGTAGTTATGCGCGTGCGACAAAACATTTCAAATTTATATAATTATGTAAAGATCAGAACAGGTTTCGCACGTGCATTGAGGAAAATAAGTACGTACCTTAAATGCATCTGCAAGAACTTCAACCGTTAACTTTGCAACACTGTCTGTCGTTACTCCGACGCCATCAGCATTTTCATTCCTTTGCCACAGACCCGAGACCCTAGAGTTGAAATTAATCCTGTCAAGGGCTCTCCGAAAAATTACATGAAAGACAATATCTGTTCCGTTGGCGTCATAAATGTCTAAAACAATCCTAAAAACTAGAGGATGCTTTTGTAAAAAAGCGCATGTCTCCCCCACTGCTGAGAATAACTGTGAATGGAAACAGGAATGGAACTGGAGAAATCCGGAAATGAGAAAATGACCAATGGTCACTGTGACCTTAACCTTTGACCTACTGACCCCATAAACAAGAGGGATCATCTGCTCAATAAGACCAATCATCCTATGAAGTTTGAGGGTTGTAGGTCTAAAGGAACTCTAGTTATCATCCGGAAAGGAGAAATTAACCAACGGTCGCTGTGACCTTGACCTTTGACCTACTGACCATTAAAACAATAGGGATCATTTGATTAATAAGACCAATCATCCTATGAAGTTTGAGGGTTGTAGGTCAAAAGGAACTCTAGTTATCATCCGGAAATGAGAAATTGACCAACGGTCACTGTGACCTTGACCTTTGACCTACTGACCCCAAAAACAATAGGGATCATCTGCTCTATAAGACCAATCATCCTATGAAGTTTGAGGGCTGTAGGTCAAAAGGAACTCTAGTTATCATCCGGAAACGAGAAATTGACCAACGGTCACTGTGACCTTGACCTTTGAACTACTGACCCCAAAAACAATAGGGATCATCTGCTCAATAAGACCAATCATCCTATGAAGTTTGAGGTCTGTAGGTCTAAAGGAACTCTAGTTATCATCCGGAAACGAGAAATTGACCAACGGTCAGTGTGACCTTGACCTTTGACCTACTGACCCCAAAAACAATAGGGATCATCAGCTCTATAAGACCAATCATCCTATGAAGTTTGAGGGCTGTAGGTCAAAAGGAACTCTAGTTATCGTCCGGAAACGAAGAATGGACGGACTGACGGACTGACGGACGGACTGACGGACTGACGGACGGACAGGGCAAAAACAATATGTCTCCCCCCGAGGTGGGGGAGACATAATTATATATAGTGAACATTAAATTTTGTTTGTTTCAGCGTAAAAACAACAACAAAAACAACAGCATACCAACTTATGGAATACATTAGATTCAGAAATGATAATTTAAGAGCAACAAAGCCACAAATTGACAAATATAATTAAAAAGACAGAATTGTGTGTGACGACTGTTAAACATAACGTGACAATTTTAGACGTAACAGCTTTGTTTAACTTTTACAGTGAGCCTCACCGAAGCTTGTGTAAAAAACCATGTCTGAATAAAAATAATTCGTAAATAAAAAAAGTTACGTTTTTGATAGCCTTTCTTTGATAAAATGGAAAAAAGTCACATATAAATATAGACCACTTTTTATACAACCATGCTTTGTCTCGTTTTGGTGACCTTTTCTGTAGAATTTTATCTAAAAAAATATAGATGTTCCTTTCCTTGTGTGTCTACGCTTTTAACTGTCATTTTGTACCATGAAACCACCATAAATCCTTATTTATCCATTCAAATCTTGATATGACATATACTAGATACGGTATCTCTGGTGTTTGACAATTACTCTATGTGTTTGGTAAATCTTCAAGTGTTTTAAAGAAGTTACGCTACTAGTATGATGAAAAAATATATTCATTGACTTACTTGTTCCATGGATACTTGGGTACAAACGTTATTTCAATGTTACTTCCGGTCACCATTTCACCAGGTATTGGTACCATGTAGTTGGCCAAATTACTGCTGTTATGATAAATCTGCACAAATATAAACACGAAGTTTTATGCTTAAATTGTGTAATTATATTCTTTTTGTTAGTACTTAATCTTTACGCTATTTTGAAACCGTTGTGTTAATTAGTGCGAATGACCGTAGAAAATTTTTCAATATAAATCACAACGAAAGTGACCTTCACCGTCCGTCCGGGAATTGCACCCGTGTCGCCCGATTCACAGTCCAACATCTTTGGGCTTACTGGACAGCTTGACATATTTGGGAAGACGTAAATAATGCATTTTTTAACAGATGATAATATCAACATGTGATTTGGAGTTTGACCCTTCAAAAATGTTAACGAATATGAATTCATTCTTAAATATAAATACTTGTATTATTTAACAATAAATACATTATGTATATAGTTTTGCATACATACCGGAGTGTCAAAGACATCGCAATTCCATGTTTTCTTTAAATATTCAGAGCCTGGTGATACCTCGCCTGACCACCCGTAATGGACTGCCGTACACACGCCGTCCGGTGATAATACGTGCCCAATATACTCGAACCCGACGTAAGTTTCAGCACATCGATACCTATCTAGCGAACTTATTCCCTCCTGTTTGGTAACAGCATTGTATCCTGCATATACAAGTCCGTCAATGACGTGTACGTATAGTTGAAAAAGAACAAATGCCAAGACAGTCCTCATTATTACGATATACTTTCTATAACAAAACTAAATATTTTTTCTTTCAAAACGCTGGTACCGTGACGTTCAAGCAGCACACATATTCCACAATTGTTTTTCAATGTGTTTCAAATCATTTTAATTTATTTTGTGACAATTATGCATTATTTATTCATAATGTCATAGTTCACTGATATGTAACCAATTTCATAAAAAATGAGTGGTACATGTATACAAATTGATGAAAAGAAATGTAAATGAAATTCGAGGAACAAATTGAATGCTTTCAGTAGTTTCCTGTGACACTTGTCTGGTGTTACACTTTCAAGTACTAAAACATGGATTTAACGGATTCTATTGTAAAATTTATTGAATTACATATTTGTTTAAAACAATACAGTGTGTTTGAAGATCAGCAATGCAAATGACATCCCGAAAAAAAATCCAGTCAAACTGGACTACCGCAAACTAAACAAAGGCACTCAGTAAGCCTACGAACAAAATGCAGGTAAATAAAAAAAAACCTAAACATGCCAAAGCCATTTTATTTATTCTAAACAAAATTGAAAAGCAAGTAATAAAAATAAAACCGTCAAGGACACATCTGTGGCTAAAAATATCATCTTCGTTGAATTATATTTGACAAAAATAGTAAGAATAAGTTTGCTACCAAACGTTTGTATACAAGCAATTAAATTTGATTTTAACTATGCAAATTTAAACATTAACACATTATTGACACAAACAAATTTGTCTTCTTTTGGGGTATAGTCGTTTTAGCTTGAACGGCGATTTTATCTGCTTGTATATAAATTCTGTGTACTTTTGTAAAAAAAAAAAAGCAAAAAAAAAACGATTAAAATTATTTCCCAGATATCGCACTCATTATTTGACACACTAAATAGAAGAAAAAATATGTAAGTAGAGCTTTTATAAGTCATGCAGCTAATAAGCTAGTCCGTGAAAATTCGAATACACACAGAACAGCGATTCCTAGTAATTTTGGAATGCAAATACTTGTCATACATTGTAATCTAAAAGCATGTAAACATGTTATTTTTGCACTACATCTGTTGACATTATCAGTATTGTCATTTTTGTGCCGCCTCTACTACGGATTAGTGGCGACATATAGGGATCACTTCTTAGTTGTGCATATTGTCAGCATTTCCGGTTCAGTTATTTTTGTCCGAGTTATTGCCCTTTAATAAGAAAGGTTGTTTTTTCTATGTGTGTTGCCAGATACACAAAAGCTTGTCCGGACTACGTCTAAAAATATACCTGTGCTATTTCATCTAAACTTTACAGGAATGATCAGTACCAAAACTAGTTGTGCATATCATCGGCTTTTTATGGTTCAGTGAGTTTTGGCCCTTTAATTTTTTTTTTAATGTAGACTTCTTCTCATATACCACTAATGCAATTTCAATGAAACTTTACAGGATTGATTGGTAGATCAAGCACTTGCGCAAATTACCCGGGATTTCCCTTGAATGATTTTTAGCCTAGTTATGGCCCTTGAAATAATAAAGTTTGTCCGGACTACTCCTCATATACCATTTATACAATTTCAATGAAACTTTACAGGATTATTTTGTAGGTCAAATATTTGTGCACAATACGCCAGTTTTTTGCTTGAATGTTTTTTGGTTTGGCTGAGTTATTGACCTTGAATAAAAAAATGTGTTTTTGTGTTGCCAGCCACACAGAAGTTTGTCTGGACTACTCCTCAGCGTGCGGGTGCAATTTCATCAAAATTTTAGAGAAATGATCAATACCATATCTAGTTGTGCATCTCATCAACATTTTTCGGTTCATTGTCTTTTGTCAGAGTTTTTGCCATTTCATGATTTTAATTTTGAAATTTGTCCGGACTACTCCTGTTATACCACTAATGCAATTTCAATGAAACTTTACAGGATTGATCGATAGCTCATATTTTTGTGCATATTACACAGGTTTTTAGGTGGAATGATTTTTTGCCAAGTTATGGCTATCATGAGGCAACACATGTCATCACCGATGGCCCTTGTTCTTACATGTGTCAAGGAACTTGCAATTCCAAGTTTTCTTTAATATCCTGACCCTAATGATACTTCGACAGACGCCTGATCATCTGTACTGGACTGCCGTAAACACGCCGTTAATAGTTTTCTGTGATACTTGTCACTTTCAAGTGCTAAATCATGGAACAAACGGCTTCTATTGTGAAATAAATTGATCTATATATTTACTTTTATTACATGCTTTTCGGGCGTTTATAGAAATATATCAGTGATATAAAACTGGTAATTTCACTGTTTGAAACAGTGAAATTACCACTTTGATAATTTCACTGTTTTAAATTTAAGCCCCTTACGTTGTTTCAGTGAAATACCAGCGTGCACAGTACTGGGTACCAACTTAATGACGTGACGTCGTAAATGACGTCACATTGTATTATTATTTGGCGCGCTTTTCATTCAGTTATAAGGTTTAATGTCTTTTAAAACGTTTCTTTGCATGTAATAAAAAGAAAATTTGTTTAGTTTATTGTAAGATCGAAATATATTTCACCTTGTGAACACCAAAAGTTCATATTTCACTCGTGGCTGCGCCACTCGTGAAATATACCTTTTGGTGCTCACTCGGTGAAATATATTCCGATCTTACACTGAACTAAACAAATATCCTCTACTGTATTTATTACATGCTTTTCGGTGGTTTACAGAAATATATCAGTGATATAAAACTGGTAATTCCACTGTTTGAAACAGTGAAATTACTACTTTGATAATTTAACTGTTTTGAATTTAAGCCCCTTATGTTGTTTTAGTGAAATACCAGCGTGCACAGTACTGGGTACCAACTTAATGACGTCAAAAATGACGTCATGTTGTATTATTATTTGGCGCGCTTTTCATTCAATATTAGGTTTAATGTCTTTTTAAAACGTTTCTTTGCATGTAATAAAAAGATAATTTGTTTAGTTCAGTGTAAGATCGAATATATATTTCACCTTGTGAACACCAAAAGTTCATATTTTACTCTTGGCTGTGCCACTCGTGAAATATACCTTTTGGTGCTCACTCGGTGGAATATATTACGATCTTACACTGACCTTAAAATATCCTCTATGTATTTTAAAATCTATCTTATTAATAATAAATGCCATGGCAGGTACATAATACATGTTATAAGGGACGCCTACGGAAGTTTCACATAAATTGCGGAATGTATGTGCTGCTTGGACATCAAAGGAACTTTGTTAAAATGTCCAGAAATATGTTCGTAAAGTTGATAGCCTAACAGCCTCAAGTTAGCAGCTTTAGCAGCGTAAAGGTTGGTAACGGCCTAGCAGCCTGAAGTTGGTGGTCGAAAATATAATACAAGTTATCAATTTCTAAGGACATTACAAGTATATATGTAAAAAACGTCCAGTTCATAAACTGCTGAAAATGTTTTCTGATGACATACAAAATTTTACATCGTTTGTAAACCCCAAACTTTAAAATTTGGGCCCCAAAAAGTAATACTTAAAAATTTGGGGAAAGAGTTAAACAAATTCCTGCAGGGTTTAAAAAAGACTGTGACACTTATGAGAAATTTTTTGTTTTTTCTGAGAATAATTGATATTGCATGAAGTGCAGTTTCCGAAGTTTAAACCTCAAATTTTAAAAATGGCCCGGTTTGAATTTTTTTTTGGGTTCCGGAAACCATGCCCTACGAATCCAATATATTCCCAACCGACAAACCGATTTTTTCTCCCTTGTTTAAAAAAAGTAAAAACGAGTTTTGTTGCCGTTTCAAATTAAATTCCATAAAAGATGTCATAAAAAATGCGGGTTGTCATTTTAGCTTCCTAGGGAAAAAATGAAATTAAAAATAAAAAAAAAAATTAAAAGTAATTTTTCCCTTTTTAAATTTTAAATTTAAAAGAAATGACTTGGGGTATTCTACTTTGGTACTCCGCAACGTTTGAAAAAAAAGAAGGGTAACTCAAACAAATGTTTGCCCTTATTTGAATTTTTTAAAATTTTCCTTTTTCATCTTTGTCATCATTACAAGGTTGAGTATTGGAACAAACAGCGAGAGTCCTGAAACGATAACACACGTGCAAAGTTAGATTATGTTCTTTATCACACACCCGTGCCGATTTTGCGACTCCGTAAAAATAGAATTGCACGGCCGTGCATATATTTTGACCTGGCTTCATTTCCAGTTTACAAACATTTTAGTGTAAAGACGCGCTAAATTTTAGCGTTAACAGACGCGTCGATGAAAAATGATTATTTTGCACCCTAAACAGTTTTTATTTTTGGCTATGTAATAAATAGAATATTATATTCATGTAGGTTCATTCCTGAATTTATTGAACCCGTTGAATAAAAATAATATTTTGCAAACATCGTGAAGGGCAGAATGACTCTACGGAACTTGTGTTTCCTGACATATATGGCAGAAACATGACCCTTTTTCTAATCTGGTGAAAGGGACGTGAATTATTGTGTCTTATTTCTACGGTTCATGCTGACATATTCAATTTTGATCTGTCCTTTAATTGGAATGTGCTGCTTGCAGTTGTGGCACAAAAAGCAAATGATAGTAAATGAAATGTCTCAAATATAAAATGACCAAAATGTTGTATAGATGGATAGAAAACGGCAACGAATTAAAATAGAGAAAACAGTATCAGTAAATAACGCTCAAACCAACATAATTGAAATTGTTGCTGGCTCGGTTTGATGTCGTGTTGGAAAATGCAAGTTAACATCCAGTCCAGCCCCAAGCACCGGCTTAAGCAGAATTCAACATATAACATTTAAGCAATATTGTTTAAATATTGATAAAAAAATGTACAAGTAATAAACGAATGAACAATATTTTAAATAAAACTCCAAGTTATCTCAACTATGCAGAAAAACAAAACTTATGAGGTTATGATTTTATTGAATTAATCCCAAGCACTTAAATGAAAATAAAAATTAACTACATTGAAAAATAATACGTCTCTCGGGGTAATAAGGAATATTGGCAAAATAACACCCGAGGCGGAGCCGACGGTGTTATTTCAGTTCAAGGGTTTCTAATATGCATTATTACTTGAAAGACACTGTGCGTGTCCCATCAGGGGA